GCCTGCTTGTCTGTGTGTACTCTATGCATGTAGAAACTGGCAGAGGCTTGAAGCAGGGCATCAGATCTTCTGGGACTGTAGATAAAGGTAGTTGTGAGCCATCTGATGTGGTGCTGGGAAATATCCACACTCTCTGAAAGAGCATCAGGTTCTCTTAAGGGTGGAACCACTCTCCCAGCCCCCAAAAGATGTTAGTTTTGATGCATGTTTAGTATTTATACTGACTGAAAGTGGAACTTCAGAATGTGCTATTCAAAAAAAAAAAAATGAGGCACCATTATGAGCCACACACATACAGAAGCTGTTGCTCACTGTGGTGTTTTGAAAGAAAATGGCCCCCAAAGGGAGCAGAAATTTAGGGAGGTGTAGCCTTATTGGAGTAGGTGTGGTCTTGCTGGAGGAAGTGTGTCACTGTGGAGGCAGGCTTTTAGGTCTCATATATGCTCAAGCCATGCACAGTGACACAGTTCTTCCAGTTGCCTGCATATCAACATGTAACATCTACCTCTCCAGTACAAGTAGAAGTTTGTCTGTACACTTCCTTATCCCACCATGATGGTTTGGATTGAATCTGTGAACTGTAAGTGAGCCACCACAATCAAATGTTTTCTTGTAAGAGTTGCTGTGGTCACGGTGTCTCTTTCCAACAATAGAAACCCTAACTAAGACACTCACCTGCCATTTTGGATTCTTTGACTTTGGCCAGCCTCCACCCCTGGTGGCCTAGTGTGCGAAGGCCTCCTTGCTGGTCTCCCTGCCTTGTCTGAATTTTCCCCTCAACTTTACTTTCTCACTAGCAGCTGAAGCCTCTCTCTCTCCCTTGGTGTGGTTCCCAGGCTCTTAAGGCCACTGTCCTTTGCAAGCAGGCTGCTGTTCTTGTTTCTCTCGCCCTATCTGGTCTCTGTCTCGGTATATACTCTGAATTCTTCTGAAGCCCCACAGCAGACCACTTCTACTTGCAACATCTGTATCAAGGTCATTCAAGGCTCACTTTTCTGTAACCATAGACACTTAGAAACAACTTATACTGGCCAAGAACAGGAAAATGATCCAATTCACCAAGGTATTCTCCCTAGGCAATATCATAAGGCTATTCAGAATGATATTGCACTAGACCATTAGCAACCAGAGAAGACATCCTTGAGTCAGTAAGAAAATAAATGTGAATATAAGACAACAGAGATAGTGTGGCTTAATGTTCCCATATAAAAGTATATAGAGAAAATATTAAAGGGCATGTCACATTTTTACTTTCATGCTGTGGACAAAACCTTGGGACTTGGGCTATTAGGTATGGTGTTTTGAATGAGATGCTACCCAATCAATGGCATTTGAATGCTTGGCTCTTAATTGGTGGTACTCTTTGAGGAGGCTTGGGAGGTGTTGCTTTGTGGGAGAAAATATGTCAGTGGGGCAAGATTTAATATTTCAAAGCCTTGAGCCATTCAGAGGATACTCCATCTTCTTCCTGCTTGTCCTTCAAGAAATGAGCTATCAGATGCTGCTCCAGTTAACATCCTTTTCCTCTGCCATGGTGGACCCCGATCCCTCTGGACCATAAGCCCAAATGAAGTCTTCTATAAGTTGTCTTGGCCATGGTGTTTTATCACAGCAACAGAAAATTAACCAATACACTAGGCAATTCCTCTATCGATGAGTTACATCCTTTGACTGTAATATTTTGAGACAGCCTCACACTATGTAGCCCAGGCTGGACTGGGACTTCTGACCTTTCCTTAGTCTTCTGAATTTGGGATGGCAGGCATGTACGACCAAGCTCAGCTATCCCAGTTCTTACTGCTGTCCTTAATTGAATTCTTGAGGATACTTGTTGTTCAAATTTCTAAAGGTCTTAATAGAAAAGCCATAGCCAGATATTGGGGCAAATGCTGAAAGATCAGAGAAATAAAGGAACAAGCCATTGCCACGTCTTACCTCTAGGACTCCTCAGTCTGAAAAGCTTTTAGTTCCTGCTTCCTCACACCTTATATACCTTTCTCTGCCCATCTATTAAAGACATGTGTGTG